CCCCATGTGCTCCAAGATGGAGACTCTCATAGTTTAGAGTTAGGACCGCACTATAAGAGGTGCCTTGGCGCGGCAGTGCGGCTTACACATCCTCGGCTGAAGACGTGTATCCAAACCTCTGTCATTATCCTTAGTGGTGAGACAAGTTGTTTTACATGCTGGTTTTGTGAGTGTGCCATGATGCCTTTCTGCTGTTTTACTGTTCAAAGCCCATTTCGTGTGCACCTTACTGTATAACTGGTAACAAATTGTTGAGTGCGTTTGTCGTTTGTTTTGCTTTCCTTATATTGTAAAGCACTATGCAAACTGTTGGTGCTATATAAATCCTGTATAATAATAATAATATTAATAATAATACATCCAAAATGAAACTTAGACTCCTCTCTATTGGCCCAACCTATTCTTTTGAAAAGGCATGTGATCTTTAAAGTGATACTAAACTCAGGAGTTCAATTTTAAAAATGCATTTAAGTACCCCAGCTATGAACAACAATGTAGCTTATTTGTGTATCATTCGCCTGTAGATCCTCAAATCTCATGTTTGGTTTACTAATTTGTATTGAGATTTTAGTCCATCACCGGCGTGATCTTGGTGCAGTGGCTACTTTACAACACACACTCGGACAATGGGGAACAAAAGTAGCCACTCTCCAGAAGGAAGGACAGTGTCAGCACTAGTGATGAGCCGAACACCCCCCTGTTCAGTTCTAATTCGAACATTCGAACACGGAAAAAGTTGTAACTCGAACTTAGAACACAATGTAAGTCTATGGGACCAGAACTCTGAAAATCAAATGTCCCAATTTTAAAGGCTTACATGCAAGTAATTGGCCATATAAAGTGTACGGGGATTCCCTGCCCTGGGGGACATGTATCAATGGAAAAAAACACTTTTAGAAAATACAATTTTTAAAGGAGCAGTGATTTTAACATTGCTTAAAGTGAAACAATAAAAATGAAAAATTCCTTTAAATATCGTGCCTGGGGGGCCCCCTTCAACTGCCTATAAAGTGGCAAATCTGTACGATGTATAGAACCTGCTGCAGCAAAAATTTAATTTATAAAGAAAAAATTTACATTTAAATTGGTTTCCCCTTAATCTTGTAAACAACTGCTTGGAGAGGCAGCCTGTCTGAAGAGGCCACATTTTAGGATGCTCGGAACAAGGTTAGAGATTTCTGTGGACAAATTCTGGTTTCTCTTTTGCAGACGTTGGATGAAAGTTACATAGTTACATAGTATTTGGGGGTTGAATAAAGACATACGTCCATCAAGTCCAACCCATATAGGTCCACGCATCATCTCATTCTTAGGGATACTGGTATCCCTGGATATTACGGTCCCTCAAGAAATTGTCCAAACGTTTCTTGAACAGATCTACACTCTTGGCTGCAATCACTGCCGATGGCAGTGAGTTCCAGACCTTAACCGCTCTTACGGTAAAGAACCCTCTTCGCCCATTAGAAATTAAGGGTTCTTGTCCGTCCCGCCCTCTTTCCTTTCCTGTATTTAATATTGAAAGTAATCACATTGTGATCACTACTACCCAGTGTCTCCCCAATTACAATATCCTCGATTAAGTCCCCATTATTAGTAATTATTAAATCTAGGATGGCATTTTTCCTAGTTGGAACCTCCACCATCTGTTCCAAGAAATTGTCTCGCAACAAGTTCAAAAATCGGCCCGCCTTTGTCGATCCTGAGGTACCATTAGCCCAATTAATATCCGGGTAATTGAAGTCGCCCATCACGACTACATTGCCCTCCCTCCCGGCTATTATGGGACAAAAGCACTGGGATTCACTCAATAAGTATTTTTCTGTGGGTAGCTTGCTGGCTATTTCTTGTTCCACTTTAACTGGAGTTGCTAGCTAAGCAGTCAATGAGCAGGCCCGTGGGCAGTGTCCTTGCGCTCATATCATTACAGTTAGTATTTATCAGGCCATGTTTCAGGGGCAACAGTGGCTATTGGAACAGTAGGCAGTAGACAATTTAGCAAACGCTTTGCCAGCATGGTAGTTAGAGTGAGTGTCAGATACCATTACAGAATATCACTAGTGGTTTTCTCACATAGAAACATTTTAACATTCCAATAGGTGTCTGCTTTGCTGCCAAGATAAAAGAAATGTAGCTTGGTTTTTACCTCTGTGATCAAATGCAAGACAAATGCTCTGTCACTGGGAAGAAGTATTGTGAATCTCATATACAGAATGCCTGGGCTTGAACTAAAAAAAAAGGTGAAGATTTGCTATGTTAGGAACATTTAGAAAGATTGTGCCTAAGCAGATCCTTGAAAGTTGTTTTTTTTTTTTTTTAAATCCTCCTAAAAAATGGCAGAGAACTTCCTGACATGTGAGTGTGCCTAGGCACTCCTGTGCGTATAGCCTCATAGCTGTCTCCAGGACAGAAAGTGAAGGGAAATCTTCTTAGCAAGACAGAGACAGCAAACAAAAACTTGACAGGGGTTTTAACAATTTCCTATGCTATTCAAAACAAAAAAAAAGGGTTGACTTTATAGAAACTTTAATTACCAATGTCAGCTTTGGTCCCTGTGACCCTTTCTTTCTTTCTACTGGTATTACAGCTACAACAAAGAGTTAAATAAACAGGTACCGTAATCACATATCTGGAAGCTATTTTGCCTGCCAAAGACTTGGTATTTCTAACCATTCACAGCCTTGCAACAGACTATGTGAAGAGCAGCAGCAGACTGACAAACACATCCCTCTGTTCACACCACTGTTTCCTCCTTGTCAGCACACTCCCAGCCTGTAACCCTACTTACTTTGCTATTTCAGTCAGCCTGTTTACAGTTAGCATATGTGCACTGCATTGGCTCCTAGTGGCGCTCTTCCCTCTCCAAGTCTGAATGCTGCTGTATGTGGGATTGCCAAGTCAAGCATTTCAATCAATATATGCTAGGTTATTTACTGTTTTCATTTAATAACTTACATATAACTTAAAACTTTTATGTTGGAACACACAAGTTTATGTGATAGTTTGCTTGACTGCAAGGGGATTGGGCCTTCAAGTCAGACTGTCCTCTATAGTATAATTGCCTTAAGAATTGCCTATAATTGCCTTAAAGGAGAACTATGAGATGAGTGATTTCCACTCACCTCATAGTTCTAGCCGACCTGTGACAATGAGACTGTCACAGGTCGGCTCAGTAGATCGGGAGGTGAGCGAACACATACCGGGTTCGCTCACCTCTCGATCCTGGCACGGCTCTCTGCCGTGACAGGGGGAGGGGCTGGATTCCCCTCTCCCCGCTCCGATCTGCCAGCACTGACTGGCGTAACGGACGGGGGAGGGGGTGGGTACAGCTGGCTCTGCCTCTAGATAGGCAGAGCCAGCTGTCACTCATGCAGCTGGGCGGATCTCGACGTCGAGGTCGGGATCCGCTCCGGCTGCGGCGTCTCAGTATACCGCGAGCATTAGCTCGCGGTATACTGAGCTTAGGGTAACGGGAGGATGCTAGTTTGTGTCCTCCCGTTACCCTAAGGAGAACTATGGGGAAAAACACTGACCCCATAGTTCTCCTTTAAGAAAGCAATGTAGAAAAAAAACATTGTGGCACAATATATCCTTAAAATTATTATGTAGCATTAGATTTGGAGTTTTAATTAAAAAACACGCTCTAACATTTATTCAGAGCTCCAGCAGCAAGTTATTTCAACAGGAAAAAATGATCCATCTTGTCTGCTGCAGCCATTACTTTTAAGTATGGTTTACAGTGACCATGGTAGTCCCTGCAATGCAGCAAAGGAATTAAAAGAGACGAATACAGCCTATACCCTTACATTAGGTACTTATTTTTTAACATTTAGGCAAAGCAAGTGAATATGTAGCCCAGAGCAACAATTCAGATTCCATGCTTTGTCTTGTCCAAGTTATTATTAAATTATTGCAAACAACCTATCGACTGCTGTGGCTATCTTTCCCTCGGCACTAATGACCTGTTAACATATATGATATTTTAAAGGTCTCATTATATGTACTGATAACCGTATATTGAACAATTAGGTAAATACTAGGTTACTATTAATGAATATAAAATTTTAACATCTCTTACCCATTGCCTTTAAACACTGAGATGTAATTTTTTTCTCCACTCCATGGTTTAAAATTTATGCAAGTCTTTAACCTGAAGCGTTCAAATGCTTTCAGGATCACACCTTTAGCATTAATTGCTGTATGGAGATGAAAAAAAAGAAAAAACTGTGAGCCTCATAACTTGTCACACTATAAGTTTCTTCTCTGTACAAACCATAGTGTAATAGTTGTGCTAGACTAAAGCTAGCCATTCATAACTCAAATTTCATCCAATTTCTCCTGAATTGGATGAAAATACAGCAGTGACTCCATTGGCACCACATGCTTGACAAAGGTCAATCTCAAAATTGAAGGCAGTGGGTCAAAAATTGTCGGCTAAACAGTCCTATCAGATGCAGCCACTGTTTGGGTATTTGGGTGATGCCGGCTGCCTGAATGCCATAGTCGGCAGTGCAGGTTGGCCTATCCATGATGTTTAGCATGGATGGGGAAATTAAGAGATTTCTCTCATTCAGCCCCACGGACATAGCAGAGAAATCTAAACATGCATGGCTAGCTTTAGTTCTGTTGTGTCCTTCTGAACAACAAGCTGTAAACATGTCTACCTTGCATTTCTCCTATTTCTCTTAATTATAGTGCTACAAACATAAAGTGACATAAGAGCTTCTTATGGGAATGAAGGGATCGCAGAGAGATGGAAAATAATACAAGTTTGCACAGTGAGGTTTTACCAGTAACTATTGGGAAAGGTTTATATAACACTTATTTTTTAAACGTTTACATAGTTATTTTTAGCCTCCACATGAGTTTCCTCTACGCATAGGCAAATATATTTATTTATATAATCACTATTTGCAAACTTACAAAGACTGTCTTCTAAGTAATAAGGGACTGTCAAAGGCCACCTATATTGCAATCCAATTATTGTATTTCTTCCCATCTAGGGTTCAAAAACAAAATGCAAATTACATAAAGTACATATTTTTTATATTTCATAATTTAACATTGAAATCAGAATAATGCTAATCTGTAGAAAAATAGCAAGTGTACTTACACATGTTCCCTGGTTTACAGATGCATTCTATAACACAGTGCAGGCAAGGAGAATACAGGTGGAATAAACCAATCATTGTAACCTATGGAAAACTATCCTTAAAAAAACACATTTTTCAAATAAAGAGAAGAAGAAAAAAAGTGATGGAGATACTGCAGCTTTCCTCATCAGGACATTGAAATTTGCTCAGGTGGCTACAGTGAACACAGACCCTCCAATTCAGAAACAGGCTGGAAAGGACATAGTGAAACAGGCAACACTTTCCTCAGAACAGAGGAAGATAGGAATCTGCAACAAAGTTTGTTAAAATCCCTGTAATATAATATATATGGATCATCCAGAGTGAATGATTTTTTCTCAACTAAAATAGAGTTACACTTTAACTGATCTAATAATGTTTGGATGCCACACGTTTGTGTATTGGCAGGAAAGCTATTTCTGCTATTTAAGATATTATTCATTTAATTACACAATTCTTAATTGCAGTTAAATAGTGTCATCAGAAACCATCTTGTACTGGTCTGACTACAATGCTGAACATTCTGTCTGACAGTTTTGGAGACTATATTTTTGAATATTTAGAGCAGCTTTTCTCAGCCTTTTTAACCCTGCTCTGCCATGGGCACAATCTCTTAGTCATTATATATGCCATCTTACTGACCAGGTAGAGAGAGGAAGTTGTAGAAGGCCAGAAGAAGAGTAGGGTATGTCAGATGACAAGGATTGGATACACACTTGTAAGAGTTCACAGGATAATATTGGTCCCAATCTTTACAGCACCAGCATTAATAATGTTTTCACATTTTTCTACCTGCAGAGAGTGTATCAGAGGGAGGTTGTTCAAGTGCAATTTAGCAATGCCAGTATAAAATAGGCAATCTCTGTACATGTGGGCAGTAGCTCCTTTATGCATTTCATGGCTTCATTTTATTTATTTTTTTCTGGAGTGTATCTTTAAATAAAGCCTGTAATGCAGTGCTGCAAAGCTGAACTTTCTTTTACAAAAGGTTTATTAAGTTGTTGTTTTTTTTTTAAAGAATTACAGAAGCAACAGTAGAAAAGTACTTTCACAGTAAATGCTCCATTGTGCAACAATAGAACCCATGAACAAAAGAATCTAATAAAAAAAGGAATAGCCATGAGCTTAACAAACGGATCATACGAAACCCATGTGATTGACCAATTGTCCACCCTCACACTGCAGTAGCTGCACTTTCATATGAACGTTTCTCGAGCATGAGAGAGTTATTTTGCATAATAATTAACAGACAGTTAAATGACAGGGAGAACCCCTAGTACATACTTTTATTTCCTTAGTTGCACATCACTGAAGTTTGTTTGCTGTCAATGTGTTGCTGCAACAATATAAAGTAACAAAAAGTGTAATAATACATTATTTACTCACTGGATTGTTCACAATGTCCCCTTCAAAGAGTTCCAAACCTGAGGATGAAAAACACTGACTATGTTAAATAAATTGAAGGATTTTTTTTTAAAGAATATGTGGAAAGCTTTATCTACTACAACAATTATAGCAAATTAAGTTTCTGATTCTATATAAAAGTGTTCTTTGGTATCTAACAATTTTGAAATAACTGGTTCTAGATATAGGTTACTCTTCTATTTGCACAGCTCATTGGCATTGTTCTACGATCACTACTAGATTAAAATATTTATTTAAAGGGACAGGTAGGAATAACAACAAGGTAGGTGCCATTCTTAATTTGGTTTTAATGGTGATGTCACCAGGGAAATGTCATCTTGATCTACATTTACTGACCTAGAATAAGAAAACACAATGGGAGTTCAGACTTTTAAAAAATGTACTGACATATTTCAGTTTGGTGACAAACTAGGTAGTTCTGCCTTACTGATTCACGTTAAAATAACACATTTAGGAAAGAGTATGAAAACGTTTACCAGCATGCAGGTGCTGAGCTCCTATCAGACCCCCAGTAAACTGATCATGCAAAATAATGCCAGGTATTCAGGGTGATATAAGCAGGGAATATGGGTTAGCAAATATTTACTAAGCTGATGGCTGTAGCAGAAAAGCTTAGCCTTTCCCTGAAATAAGGCCTTTGGGGGTTTCCGCCTACTTCTCATTTCTCCTCTGAAGAAATTAACAGGCACACCTTGACCATAAAGTGTGATTGATTACACAATCATTCAGTTTTAGGAAAATCTACCTGCCATGTACATCTAAAACTAAATATAAGCATGAAAACACAATCTTGTGTCTCTAGACCCGTCACAAGACTGCTGGACAACTGTCTAATTGATTATTGCTACTGTTTCTCCCATAAATACACAGCACCAGAAGCATCTGTCTGTGGCACTCTCCTCCCTCTTTCACTCAACATAAATGTAAAGCTAAGCCCAACGTTCCAGTTTGTGGCAGTGAGGCCCAGTTCTCGTGACTGAGGGCAGTCAGATTGTATATTTCAGTCCTTGAATCTCTTAACGGATACCTGGACTAAAAGAAATATGCGGGCTCCCATTCCTTACATTGGAAAATTATGGTTGCCTGGATGTAATACGAGTGTATGATTTTAATGATTTATCCCCCAACTCCGACCAAATCTTTTAGTTTTGGACAGAGTGTGGAAGGGTTAGAAACTCTTTCAAGTTTCATTCCTTTCTGTACCAGTTGGGGAAATTGTATGTTCATTGAGACAGGTAGTAAACAAAATCTCTCTAGACCAGTGGTTCTCAACCTTTCTAGGGCCGGGACCCCTTGGTAACATTTGCCAAGTTGTGGTGACCCCCAACGGTAAAATTTAGGGTTGACGCGGCTGCTGCAGCGACATCTGGCGGCGACCCCTGGCAAATTGTCATTCGACCCCCAGGTTGAGAACCACTGCTCTAGACAGTAGTAATAACATTTTTAAGAATTGAATGAAGACAGGAAATTAGATCTGCCAGATTATTTTTGCAGTATCTGTCCTTATTGGGATGGCCTCCTTACTTACTACCGTATATACTCGAGTATAAGCCGAGTTTTTCAGCCCATTTTTTGAGTTTTACATAAATATTCATGTAATTTTATTGGTATCTATCTTTATTTTGTACATTTACCAGTAGCTGCCTCATTTCCCTCGGCTTATACTCGAGTCAATATTTTTTCCCAGTTTTTTGTGGTAAAATTAGGTACCTCGGCTTATATTCGGGACGGCTTATACTCGAGTATATACGGTATATAATCTCCAGCAGGTGACACCTATGCAAGAGATGAAATCTCCCCAGAATTTCCATAGACAACAGCAAGAACCTAACAAAAGTTATGACCCTTCCTCTCTCTGACCCAGAACAAGCATGAAATATGGTAAGTCATAGTGAAGTCAACACACCGGATCTGCATACTTAGTCATTGACTCTGAAAAGGTTTAGCTCAGCAGTGGCAGCCTTCTGTGTCTCCTAGCATTGGTTTCCATTAAGGTTACTGAATGATACAAACCACTCAACCCATTTTTAGGCAACTCCTTATTATCCATCATATGGAAGGAACTCCCACTGTATATTAAATAATGTATTTTTATATATGTAATTATTAAATTTCACATATCCTGTGTGGCCTAAGTTAAGCAAACAAATCGCCAGAAAATTGCATATATTATGGATTTTAAAGTAGTTGTTTTTCTTTTACTGAGCTATACTTTGCATACCCTAAACATTTTTCATTGATTATGTCCTATTTGTAGGAGGTGTTAATAACAAACTGGTGCAGGCTGTCCGTACAATTTCATCTTTTAGTGCTATCATAGAAAATGATTTCTTAAAAAAAGTTGCAGATAAAGATAAAAAGATAAATAACACATTTACATACCTTTATTTATTTCAAAAATATCTGATTTTGTTAAATTAGATGTACCATATCCTGCTGCAAAAAAAACAGAACATTAAAAATTCACACTAGATAATGCTGATCAGTTCCGAGCATTTCTTAAATACAATGACAAACATCTTTTGAGCTTTCCATAGCTAAGGAAAAATCTTTTAATAATTACATTAATTAAAAGAGTATGTCTGGGCAAAATACATTGTAAACGTTTCTATACCCCCTTTTGGTTTGTTAATTATTTTTTTCAATTGCTCGTTTTCTAAAGGCATCCATAGACACGGGACAACAGCTTTGTGCTGTGCCTGTTAAGTAGACACAGGCAGTTTATGGGCAGGTCAATGCTTCAAGGTCAAATGAGAAAAAAAGATTAATATAGGTAAATTTTCACTACTGAGACTACTATAAAATAGAATAGCACTGTACATACACAGGAATACTGAGCCATCAAAGACTGTACCTTCCCTGATGTGAGCAACATGATTCACAAGAGAATTGGCCTCCCATTATTATGGCCAGATAGAATAGATGTGGTGTTCCAGGTGAGTAAAAACCAGCTACAATGACTACAATATTACGAAAGCGATTGTATGAGAGAGACATACAGGTACCAATGTGGCTCTCAATGTATGCAGTCACTGGAAGCCTGCTTCTGTTTCCCTCACACCACAACCGAGTCCAGCTGGAGTTGTCTGCCTCCAAGATCTCGGACAAATCTATCAAACATCTGGTTAGGTCATGTAGAAGGAACTTGTTCAACTATAGGTATCCAAAGACAGAGGGTATCTATGGTATCTTCAGACCTCAACAAACACCGCCAACAAATGGATCTCTAAGGGAAAGTCTGTCAGCTGACAGGCTATTGTTCTTCCATGATAAACGTAAGATACCAAAGACCAGATTGTCTGAATCATGACATTGTTATGACCTGACTGCTGTTTTATCAGCATCCAGTAGATTTTTAGACATCTAAAGACGAGTAAAACACAGGTATTAACATACCAGCGCAGACATTTGTTAAATAATATAAACGATTAATAAATGTAAATTATTAATATTTTTTCAAGGGACATTTGTTGTGTATAGGGATGTCCTGATACCATTTTTTCAAGACCAAGTACAAGTACTCTCCCTCAGGTACTTGCCGATACCAATTACTGATACTTTTTCTTAAAGGGACATGTGACATTTTTTCCTAAAACAATACAGAACAATGATTTTTGGGCAGTTTCTTTGTAATTATAAAGAACTGTAACTCAATTCATGATTATTCCCCAATGGAGAATGGCAACCAGCTATAGAGGAATACAAATCTCAGCAAGCCATGATTATTTAGCAATGGAGAATGGCAACCAGCAATTATGGATTGCTGAGATTTGTAATCCTTTATAGCTAATTGTCATTCTCAATTTCTGTATAATCATTAAATATACAGCAATGGAGAATGGCAACCGGCTATAGAGGACTACAAATATCAGCAATCAATGATTATTCAGCAATGGAGAATGGCAACCAGCAATAGAGGACTACAGATCCCATCAATCCATGATTCTAAAGCAATTATACAGGGCTTTGTGCGGTCTCACCATGGCTGCATTTGGGTCTTACCAGAGCTGCATTTGGGTCTCACCAGGGCTGAATGCAGGGTCTCACCAGGGCTGCGTGCAGACCTCACCAGGGCTGTATTTGGGTCTCACCAGGGCTGCATGTGGGTCTAACCAGGGCTGCATTCGGGTCTAACCGGGGCTGTGTTTGGGTCTCACCAGGGTTGCGTGCAGATTTTACCAGGGCTGCATGTGGGTTCCAGGCTCTCTGAGTGTTTGCCGGACTCTCCAGGGCTCTGTGGGTGCCGGGTTCTCCAGGGTTTTGCGGGTGGATGCTGGGATCTTTAGGGCTGGAAGGGTGGATGCCTGGCTCTCCGGGGCTCCAGGCCTGGAAGGTTGGATGCCTGGCTCTCTCTGGGGCTCCAGGGCCGTACGGGCTGTGCCTCTCCGGGCACCGGGAAGGAGGAGGAGATGTGGGGCCGGACCGGCACTGTCAAAGACAGCTACAGCAAGGTCCCCAGCAGGCTGCCTCAGGTCCCCAGCAAGCGCAGGAACTCAGGCAGCCGAACTTGTTTAAAAATGTAAATGGCTGGTATCGGCCTTTAGTACAAGTACTCATGAAAATGCCTGGCACAGATACTAGTATCGAGACAGCCCTAGTTTTCTACACAAAGAAAATCATAAATCTCAGATTTTAGAAGGAAGAAACAAACTAATTTTCAGTATCTCATTGTTCTTTCAAACAGAAAATACAAAATTATGAACTTACCAGGAATATCTGGAATAGACGGCAAAGGCTGAAATAAGAAGTACAAAAGCAACATTACTAACTAGTTATTGCCAATTATAGGTCACAACAATACTAACTACCAATTCAGGTTGTAGCTGCTAGAGATAAAATAAATATAATTTTTTTAAAGATGGTCCATAAAGGGGCAGATTGCTTGTGAATTATCTAAACAAACCCATCAAAAGAATTTTGAGCCAGTTGGGTGACACTGACCCCCATTGTACCTGCTGTGTAAGGACTGATAAAGGAATGATCCTGGTCTAATCACAGTGATATTCCAAAACAAATTGAGTTATTACTGTCAAAGTTAGCACTTGACTAAATGATTTATAAGATATATATTCAAGGCAGTTTTGTATTGCCATCTTAGTGTAAGTCTGTATATGTACCTCTGTTTTGCTCTTGATAAGAGGTCCTTTGTTAAACACTGTACAATTACACATAGTAATTGTACATCTATGTCAAAATTCAATATAGTTCATATGAATTTAATTTTGCAGTATTGCAAAATTATTAATAGACTGCACCCTATTAGCATAGTTAATACTTTTGGGATGTCAGGTTGTGATGCAATCTTACTAACTTTGCACCCTATGAGTATATTTAATACCTTTGGGATGTCAGGTTGTGATGAAATCTTACTAACTCCTATCAATATATACTAATGCAGATGTGCAGATACAAATGTATGTATAATACATGGTGTGTACCGTGTGTACATACTTACCAGACCCTGGACAACATGAAACGTGATTAGTAGCAGAGGAAAATTCATTGCGGCCATCTGGTAAAGGAAACAAAAAAGAATGTCACTGAAAATGTGTTATGAGCAGAACATGCTTTGGAAATTACCTATGGTAATTTGATTTATGTCTAGAAGGAAACCTACCAGATCAATTGTTTGCTGTATATGCCGAAATTCTATACAATGCAAAACTGCAGACAGGTTGTTTTTTGCTTACTCATGTTCTTGCATATACCGAATAGCTATTTTAATAGGCATTCAAAAATAACACACCGCCTTGGATTTCTGTCTTGTAGACAATATTTGTAGTGCTGTTGCTGTACTTTTTATATACTATACAAACATACATAATGTGCTCTATAAACCTAGTCATTTAATCTAATGTAGGTTTGAGTGGATCAAATGCCCTTTCTGATTGTGGTCGTACATTTCTGATTTTTAGATCAGGTAAAGATGGAGTTTAATGTGTGGCATGTTCCTTTCAAATATGGGTGCTTTTGAGTGATTAACAGATTTTAGTAAATTGAGGCAGCTATTATTTTTGTCTGGAGAAAGACACTACACCAGTGCACTGGAATGGTGGTATAAGGACTGATGACCGTTGTTACTCCCTTTGCAAGTCCCTAAAGTGGGGCTATAAAGTTATAAATGGACACAAATAGGAACATTAAAGCAGAACTCCAGTTAAAAATGGTATTACCCAGTGGCGTAACTACCGCCATAGCGGATCAGAGGTGGGCCCGGTCCAGGGCCAGATTAACAGGGTAGCGTGGAGTTCTGCTCCGGGTCTGCCCCTGCAGATAGACTCGGCCAGGAGTTGGAGCAGAGACCGGGGACACAGGCACTGCCGTTTATCATGAGGATGGGGGGGAAGGGGGGCGAGGGATGTCTTGCAGTTGGTGCGCTGCGAATGGCACATGGTGGAGACCCCGTACCTTGTGGCAGTGTGGATTCTGGTGGCATCCTGGCAAGATCGGTGAGTGACAGTGTGTGCTTGTGTGTAGGAGAGACGGCTGTGTGTGCGCACAGCGATCACATCTGCTTGTGACAGTCACATCTTCACTGCCTTTTTGCCATCTACTCTCATCACACCCTCTATTGACTGTAAAAGATTAATTCCCATACTCTACCTGTACCCAATTCTATTACACCCCTCACTGTACCCCCTGACTATACCCAGCACTGTGCCCTCTGACTATACCCCTCACTATACCCACTGACTATACCCCTCACTGTACCCCCTGACTATACCCAGCACTGTGCCCCCTGGCTATACCCAGCACTTGTGCCCTCTGACTATGCCCAGCACTCTACCCTCTGACTATACCCAGCACTGTACCCGCTGACTATAACAGTTCTACTCACTAAATCCTCAGAGCTGGCAGGCTCTTAGACCACTCCCTGGAGCCTCTCTCCCCCTCCTCTGCATTGGTCTAAGGTCCTGTGTACCATCACCTTCTATACACATTGTATAGGATGTGAGGACGCAGAAGTATGCCAATTCACAAAAGCGTTTATGGCATTCCCAAGCATGTTATTTAAAGGAATTTTATTTGTAATGTTTAACTTTAAAGGGTATTTCCACTTTCTCAGCCAGATTGGGATAACACCTATTTTATATTTGTTACATGTTCCCATTCACATCGCATAAGCTAAAAAAAAATAAAAATTGATTCTTGCAGTTTAAATTGCTTTTACTTGGGTTAGGATGTCTTGGCTTCTTATGGGTTACAATTGGCTTCTCCTTCTTTATAATGTTGGGTGGGGTTGGGATGGGCAGTGGCTTGAAAGTATATTAACCATGGTTTCTTCATTGTATGTTAATGAAGTTAATGAGAAAAACACAATCCTCAAATTTCATTCCTTAGTCTCTCTATAAGGACATATCACTGTGAAGGTTCTCAGAAAAACCTGAAATCAGTCATGTTGCCTGCTGCAACAAAACATCTAAAAAGATAAGAAATATTTTTGTTAAATTATTTTTCAGTTTGCTGTGTGAATTAGAACACATAATGAACATATAGAGGGGTTTTCTCATATTTGACTGCAGAAGTGGAAATACACATAAGCCTTTTAAAAAGAGCTGCTCCCTGCTGAACTGTATTTTTACCCAGCTTCCCTTTGTTTGACAATCCCTTGACTATTAGCCTTGAAAATGTTTGCAGGTTGTGGATGTTTAGCCACGTTCAGTGACTGGGCCCACAAATCAAACCCAAAACCCTCGCCCTTTACTATGCCCACCCTCCTTATCAAAATACCAGTTGCCTGGATGTTATTTTTTACCTTCTGTCTTCAATCCACTGACCTGATGCAAGTATGCAGATCAGGAATAAAAGTCAGATGTCTTTAAAATGAAAGCAACTGATAATAATAAGCCCTGGTACCAAGTACACTTTATGTATCAAAAATCAACAACTCCCGCATATACTGTAACTAGAGTGGGCATGCAAAAGACAAAACACCAGTTACCTATCCCAATAAAATTAAAACAAACACATTATCTCTTAACCGACTCCCGGATGGCCATTGTAAAAAAAAGGCCGGCCGGGAGCTTCCTAGATTTGACCGGCCATTTAAAAATATGTTAGCCCCGCCCACTGCCAAAATGTAAAAACAGGCAGCGATTCCTGTTTACATACAAGTGATCAGTTGGCTATAGAGCCGGTGGATTGATTGTATAACGTGCCGTTCTGTGCGCCCCCCTCCCGCTAGTCTCGAGTTCAGCTCTGTCCGGTGCGAGCCCCCCGGGACCGGCATAGTGCCTCTGTGACAGGGGATCAGAGGGAGATTGGTACACGACCTCCCTCCGATCCCCTCTCCGGTGTTAGAATGCAGAAGTGATGTATATTACATCATTTCCGCATTCTTGCGTCAGAAGCTGATGAAGCACATCTCTGCAAAGAATCATCTGTAAAGAATAAGTCAAGGCAACTGGACTTGCTGTATTTTTCTTGAAGACTTTTCACTAATCATCCAACCAGCTTTCTCAATTCAGAATGACATACAAAAATTTTTATCTGGGAATAAATACGGCGAGTTTTGCTCCAATTCCACATAATCTGTTAGTCACAACCAGGTGTTGATTGTATTTGCATAATTGGAGCTAGGATGTGTTAATAACCTGCCCAGAGGTTCACCATATTTATTCCCAGAGAATTTTTGTACAAGTCATTCTTAATTGAGAAAGCTGGTTGGATGACCAGTGAAATGTCAGATCAAATCATATGTCAGATGTCCTTCTCTGAATACTTGTTCTGAATCAGTAACTCACATGCATAAAACTACAGGGCCTGTATGGCAGCCAAGCAACTAGCATGTTTAGTGTGAGAATAAAGCACTGGCAGACTCTATGTTTCTCTTTGAAAAGGTTTCCTTTAAGGGTATTTGTAAACAGGCAAATTCTAGGCGAGTTGCTCATTTAATTACCAACCTTTATGCAAAAACATTTTTTGTTTTGTTTTTGAATAGAGTGGGTGAGGGTTGGACCCCCTGTCTGTATTTTATTGTTGTCTGCGTCCCCCTTGGAGAGATTCACCCTTCTATTTGTTCTGGTGACTATTGTCACCAAGAAAGAAAGTGAGAGAAATTTCAAATTGTTATAGTTGTCCCCAAAACACTATATGAGGGTGTAGGAGAAATATGTAGTCAAAATGGCTTCAAGGCATAGAATATACGGCTTGGCATATACATACTGTATAGCTATATACTCATTTTAACCTTGGACATATTTGCTTTGGTTTTTTTTAAACCTCTGCAAAACTCGGCCTTGAACCTCGGTTACCAGTTATGAAATATGTGAAGTTCCAGACAAGTTATGATTACATATAAAGCACAAGAGTATCCATCCTGTGAAGAGAACTCTGTGTTCATTTCAAGTGAAGACTGAACTTCTGCATAAGAGTGTTTTCACCCTCCTTTCTTTTTATTACCTTCTATATTATCTAACTGTTAGCTCATAACATTTTACACACTCCCCAAGCTTCCCTTTTTCTCTCTGTATTATCTTATAAAACTAGGGATGTCCCGATACCGATGCTAGCATCGGAATCGGGCCCGATACAGGGCATTTTGACAAGTACTTGTACTTGTCAAAATGCCCCGATGCCTAGCGCCGAAGCTTGCATGCGATGCAGCGATCCTGCCCAGCGCCGAATACAAGAGGCATCGCGTGAGGCTACGGGGATCGGAGTGAAACTGTGAGTAAGGGAAGCTGGGATGGGGCTGGCTGTAAATCTATTGCTATAGTGTACTGGACGTCTGTAATGTATATGTAGTGCATATATACAGCACACACCTCCACTACACTCCAGCAATAGAGTTACAATTCTCCACTGCTAACATGAATAGGTTAAACCATGATCCATAGTACATAACATGTAGTTGTACTATGTATCATTTAAAGTCACCTGTCCCTTTAAGAAAAAGTATCGGTAATTGGTATCGGCAAGTACATGATGGGATGTACTTGTACTTGGGCCTGAAAAAGTGGCATCGGGACATCCCTATATAAAACCTTAACGCACAGTGTTTCTGTGAAGGTTCACATTCATCCAGGTCATGGTATATCTGTCAAGAATAAGTCAAGGCAACTGGACTTGCTGTATTTTTCTTGAAGACGTTTCATTAATCATCCAACCAGCTTTCTCAATTCAGAATGACATACAAAAAAAATTATCTGGGAATAAATACAGCGAGTGTTGCTCCAATTCCACATAATCTGTTAGTCACAACCAGGTGTTGATTGTATTTGCATAATTGGAGCTAGGATGTGTTAATAACCTGCCCAGAGGTTCACCATATTTATTCCCAGAGAATTTTTGTACAAGTCATTCTGAATTGAGAAAGCTGGTTGGATGACCAGTGAAATGTCTTCAAGAAAAATACAGCAAGCCCAGTTGCCTTGACTTATTTTTTACAGATTAACGCACAGTAATAAATAAGACCAGCTTATAGGAGACTTTGATTGTGTGTGTTGGTCTCCAATATCGCGATATTGCATCATAATTTGAGTCCACTGATTAATGCTGATAGCATGTGGTTTGCACCTGCATTCCAAATTTATTTCCGTGACGAGGGAAAATTTCAACCTTTCAACTTTGGAAATGCATTGTGTTCCGAGCGGTGGCATTACTGTAATGCACCAGGAAAAGACTCATCACAAATACAATATGTTTAAAATCATATGTTTTCTGTAAAATGCTTGGAATGCAGAGTTTCTGGTTTCAGTTGTCATTGATTATTTAACACTGTAATCTTTAAAAGAAAAACAATGCAGGTCAACGGTTGTATATTTCCAGAGAAAACACTTCCAGATACTTATCAGAATTTTCTTTTCCTGACTTAGGTCAATGGCATCACAATACCTCATAGAACAATACATTCAACAGTTCCCTCAGAGACAGCATTTCCTTACTAGAGCCTCCTCAATTCCAGGGTTGCACCCTTGAGATGGCATCCAGATACACTTTATTATCAAAATTATAGGGGAGCCTGCCTTTACACGCACATGAACTTTAATGGCATCCCAGTCTTAGTCCGTAGGGTTCAATAATGAGTTGGCCCACCCTTTGCCGCTATAACAGCTTCAACTCTTCTGGGAAGGCGTCCACAAGGTTTAGGAGTGTGTCTATGGGAATGTTTGACCATTCTTCCAGAAGCGCATTTGTGAGATCAGGTACTGATGTTGGACGAGAAGGCCTGGCTCGCAATCTCCGCTCTAATTCATCCCAAAGGTGTTCTATCGGGTTGAGGTCAACAATCTGTGCAGGCCAGTCAAGTTCCTCCACACCAAACCTTCTCATCCATGTCTTTATGGACCTTGCTTTGTGCACTGGTGTGCAGTCATGTTGCAACAGGAAGGGGCCACCCCCAAACTATTCCCACAAAGTTGAAAGCATGAAATTGTCCAAAATGTCTTGGTATGCTGATGCCTTAAGTGTTTCCCTTCACTGGTACTAAAGGGCCAGGCCCAACCCCTCAAAAACAACTCCACACCATAATCCCCCCTCCACCAAACACAATGCAGTCAGGCAAGTACCGTTCTCCTGGCAACCGCCAGACACGTCCATCGGATTGCCAGACAGAGAAGCGTGATTAGTCACTCCAGAGAACAGGTCTCCACTTCTCTAGAGTCCAGTGGTGGCGTGCTTTACACCACTGCATCCAACGCTTTGCATTGCACTTGGTAATGTAAGGCTTGGATGCAGCTGCTCGGCCATGGAAACCCATTCCATGAAGCTCTCTATGCACTGTTGTTGTGCCAATCTGAAGGCCACATGAAGTTTGGGGATGGCCAGTGCACAAAGCAAGGTCCATAAAGACATGGATGAGTGAGTTTGGGGTGGAGGAACTTGAGTGGCCTGCACAGAGTCCTGACCTCAACCAGAGAGAACACCTTTGGGATGAATGAGAGCGGAGAATGCGAGCCCATACCTGACATTACAAATGCACTTCTGGAAGAATGGTCAAACATTCCCATAGACACACTTCTAAACCTTGTGGACGCCTTCCCAGAAGAGTTGAAGCTGTTATAGCGGCAAAGAGTGGGCCAACTCAATATTGAACCCTACGGACGAAGACTCAGATGCCATTAAAGTTCATGTGCGTGTAAAGGCAGGCGTCCCAATACTTTAGGCAATAGTGTGCGTGTGTGTAATTATAAATATTATAATATATATTACACACACACAAAGCAAGGACTTGGGAAACATTTATTGTTAGCACTTTACTCTAGTCTAAGGAACTTGGTATTATACTTAATGATACCTGTACTAAGAAAACATGGAGCCTGCCATTGTTGATATTTAATTACTTTATAGTTTGAGGTTTTCCCTGGTTATCCTGCCAGTAACACTTCCTGTCCTAGGGTGCAATGCTCACTCACTGTACTGTATCTACAGAAGAGCAGCATTGACATACTAAGACAGGATGTTTGTTAGGACTACAGAACATCTCCCTCTTCTAATTGTCATAGCATGGGAGCGGTTCTGGAGTTCAGAGGTAAACAAGCATTGAGCAGGTAGTGTAAAAAAAAAAAAAGTATAAGTAAACCCACAACGATGAACTTTTTTTTGGTTTGTTAAATACAAAACAGAAAATAGAGTAAAATTATTTTTTTTTTAAATAATAATTAAAGAAGAAATCAAGCAAGCTCATTTCCTGTACACTCACAGGAGTGAGATTTAGTTCTCTATAAACTATAGAACTACACCCCCTGTGTTATGAGGGCCATGTCTTAGGGTGTCAATGAATGCTACTTCTTCAAAAGATAAAGTACAGGCAGAATGAAATAAATGCCCAACTCCAAAATGAAAAGAAAAAAATATAAATAA